GAGGAAAAGGGAGGAAAAGGGAGGAAAAGGGAGGAAAAGGGAGGAAAAGGGAGGAAAAGGGAGGAAAAGGGAGGGGAAGAGAGGAAAAGGGAGGAAAAGGGAGGAAAAGGGAGGAAAAGGGAGGAAAAAACCACCTCACCAACAACACTGAGCATTCGTCCTCTGAGCCAAGCAGAATTTTCTCTCATTAGTAATCAGGGAAAGCATCTGCAGGTCCACACGGCCTTTTTATGCTTCAGCAAGAGAAGTCAGACAAGGCCGTCAGCCTGTCGCACTGTCACAGATCACCCAGTAGGAGGTTTTACAGCTTCTTGCATTCACCAGGAATTTCCAGCCCTGGTATATTCCTCCTTCCAGCTCTTGGAAAGGCACCAGCCATGCAAACCCACACTCCCACTTGGAAACTGGCACAGACAACTTGTAACATCTGACACAATAAAAACTGTTCCTTACTGAAGCTTTTAGTAATATCAAAACCAAAAGGCAGACGGTGTAGGAAGGAGAGTAAGTGATACATCTGCCTGGGCAGCTTCCTATATACGTGCTTAATGATTACAGATGCACAGCTTTGGGGTGTAAAGCTGCTGACCTTACATGAATTCCCTGTACAGGGAATTCAGTTTGGCTGGGCTAAAACCTTCTTTTTCATATGTCTACAGTCCAAATACACAGAAACCACTTGACTGGCTATATATATATTGAACCCTGTAATTTCTTCTGCAATAGTCACAAAGTTTGTAAGGCCCTCATTTATCTTAATTCTACAAGTCTGTTTTTAAGAGTTAACAGATGCCCTCGTGGTTTTCAGTTAGTCGTAGCCTACAATCCCACAACGCGAGGGATTGCTCACAACCCCACAGCCACGCTACCCGGAGCAAGGCACTGCCTGCCCAAGCAGCCGAGAGGAGCGGAGGCCCCAGTCCCTCCTTTCGCTCCCTTTCAGCATTCGCTAACTGGCTGCTGCCATCAACCATAGTACATACGTGCACGAGGAACACTGATTTCACGAGGTGAAATCAGTTGGCAACACTGGTGGCAACACTGGTTTAAGGTGCTTGCACCCGCCCTTGCAACTCATTTCCTCTCCCACACCGCAACACAGGGCTGCCTCCGCTTTGCCAGCACAATTAGGTGAGCAGCGGGGAATACCTCAAACAGCTCTTGTCAAAGGCTTCACCTCAGGAAACCCCAGCCTCAGCAGAAGAAGCAAGAGACTGCAGGTTGGGATGCCCGATTCAAACACCTTTCTCACCCAGGCACTACATATTCATGCAAGTAGCCCGACTAAGCTTGAGCAGGAATCAGGACTTGTGTAAAGAAGAGCCACAGAACTGCACCTGAGCTTTCTCTCTCTATTCTTCACTTTGTCGGGGTTTCTCCTCTGCCTGTCAGCTTTACCCTGTTCGGAAGCTTTGACGAGGCAGAGAAGAAGAAAAATAAAAAAGCCAGAGACTGGTGTAGGATCTCCAGATGCTGGAAACACCTGGACAAACAGACACGAGGCACATGCCAGCTGACTCTGCAGACAGACCCCAGAACCTCTAAAATTCATTAACCCTGACACCAATGCACCACAAGCTGGATGCACCTGGAGTGCACAGGACTCACTGGCCACGTATGCAGCATCCGTACAGCAGGTACAACATGTCCTGAGGCTGTCGTCTCTCTGCCCACGGACCATAAATATGTACCTATTTTTCCATCTGGGGCTTTTAGACCCCAAGAACCCTTATTCAGACAGTTTGCTATAAAATAAAAATAAGACACCAATAAAGCAACCAGCAGCCCGGAACCAGTTGCGCTTTCTTCCACTTGTTCAGTCATGCAACAGAGCTGAGATCAGAGCTGGGAAATCTCTTCGTGAGGTCATGGTGAAAGGCTGTTCTCATGCCTTTTCCTCTGCCCTGGTCCCTGTCTGACCGCTAATGGAAAACATGCGCAAACTCCTCCCAGGAAAATTTTGCTCTCTGTCTTGTTACCCGTACTGTGCTTGGACAATCAGCTATCACTTCAAGGGATTTAAATGCCATAAACACCTATGTTTATAGGGCTTGAGGTAAACTGGAGTCCCACTGGCTCCTTTTTTACCACAAATCATATTGCCAAATACCACAAACCTCTAAGATTTCTTCACCCTGTGCATAAGGGAGCCCACACACTGGGTGACAGGAGGGACAATACAGGCACACTGCCTAACCCAGGGTGGCAGGATATTTGCTCTTAGCAGGGTTCTGCTGTACGCACAACCCCCATAGTCAGCAACCTCGTTTTAAGAAAGGAGGGGGCAATCCCTTTGACATCTTCTCTGCCCCTTTCCTGACCAAAAGCCCCAAGCAGAGTCCTTAAAACTGGATGAAAAGTATTCGCCCGCAGTTTGAGACCACGTGTACATAGCAACTTTACGCATAGCAACACGTTTCTGGAAAAAACACGGCACAAACAGCATGAGAGGCCTGCAGCATCCTTCCTGCTCTGGGACCCTGGTGCTGGAGCAGCTGCAGGAGGCTGAGAGCGCCGGCCAGCAGCTGCGTACCTGGCACGCTGGCTCACGGTGTGGGAGAGGGGCCCAGAGCTGCAACAAGCAGGAAACGAGCTCAGCAGAGGAGGAGGACGAACTGGGAGCCAATTCCTGATGTCAACATGAAAGCCTTGGTAGGCCTGTCCTATTACTGCCACGTGAGCCACCAAATCTGCAACTAATGACATTTTGACAACCGCAGATAATGTGCTGCATGCTTCTACCAAATGAAGTGGGACAGGAATCACAGCATGTGCTCCATGGCTCATAATGAAATCACAGTGCAGTCC